GCACTTACATATATATGTATATATAATTAATACCATACACACACACACACACACACACACACACACACACACACATATATATATATATAATATATATATATATATATATATATATATATATACATGTATGTATATATATAATATATATATTATATATATATATATATATATATATGAATACATGTATGTATGTATGTATGTATATATATGTATATATATATATTATTATATTTTTTTCTTTTTTTTTGTGTTTGTATATGTGTGTGAGTTTGTATGTGTGTGTGTATTTTTAATGCACACACACATAAACACAGTATCTCACTTATTAACACACACTCATATAGATGTATATAGATAATAATACATATATACATATGTTTGTGTATTTAGGCTCACACACACACACACACACACACACACACACACACACACACACACACACACACACACACACACACACACACACACACACACACACACACATATATATATATATAGATAGATAGATAGATAGATAGATAGATAGATAGATGATAATCCATACATATATATGTTTGTGTATCTAGACACACACACACAGCATATACAGTCAAAACTGCATTATCGGTTACTTTTGTATTACATCTACCTGACTATAGTGATCACTTTTTGTTAGTTCCTTCGATTTTTCCGAATGACCTATGCATTAAAAATTTAGTAAATAGCAGTTAACTGTCCAATGTGGTCGCGTTCACACGGTATTCGGTCCCGTCGTTATAGCAACACTGCCGATTACGGTCCCAGCGCGCGGTCGGCCGTACTTCACAGAGCCTTATCGCGGGTGGCATCGCGTCACGGCCATTCCCGCGCCGGCGGCTCATCCGAACTTGTTTTTCTCCGAAAGAAGTGGCATCATTTGTTTGGTTAAACTCTCGGTCAATAGCACCTAAAGTGTAGGGGAACGTTCAAAATTTTTTTCTTATCTTTAATGATATCAAAATAATAGCTTTTAAGCGACCAGTGTTGTCCACAAACCACTGAACAAGCCAGGCGCTAACAGAAGCTGCTGATGTGGGCTAATAACCCCGTGTTAATGGTTTCTAGCCAAACTTTGCTCGTGGTCAATTAATGTTTTTTTCTCTGTAGTGGTCACCTGTCCATAGTGGCCAGATCTGATCAGTTCCTTGAGAGACCTCTATAGATAGGTTTGACTGTATGTGTGTATGTACGTATATATGTATGTATCTATGTATCTATCTATCTATCTTTCTATATATCTATCTATCTATCTATCTATCTATCTATCTATATATATATATATATATATATATATATATATATATATATGTGTGTATATATACTTACATACATATACACACACACACACTGTATATATACATATACATATATAATATTTATATACATGTATATACATACACTATATATATATATATATATATATATATATATATATATATATATATATATATATATACATATATATACTGTATAATATATATATATATATATATATATATATATATATATATATATATATTTATATCTACACATATGTGTGTGTGTGTGCTCTTGTTATAAGAATTTGAAAACACTGTTAATCTTATAAATATACGGGGTAAAACTAGGAAGTCTAGTCCAAGGCCAGTGAAAGTTGGTTTGCGGTAAACACTAGTATGGAAGATACCACTGTTATTGGTTATCATAGTATCTAAGGGTAACTGGTTGTCCTTTGGCATTTCACAGATTAGTTTCATGCTGGGATATTTGTAATTTAGTTAATCTAAAAAGAGATTAACGTGTGAAGGATGTTTGAAGAGCAGAAAAGTGTCGTTAATGTACCGACGATAATGTAAAGGTATAAATTCAAGCGGGTGTTCTAGCCAATTTTGTTCGTGATAACAAAGAAATGAATTGCATTAGCAAAGGAGGGGCCAAGTGGAGAGCCCATGTCTACGCCATCTGTTTGCATCTACAGGCAATCACCAAATGTAAAAAACAATTATGGGCTGTAATTTCAAGTAGTTTTATGAAGTGGACTTTAATCCAAATCTGTCAAGATGAGAGTTGTCCAGGTTGTCAATTATCAATTCCGTGGTCTCTTGTAGAGACACGTTTGTGAACAAAGATTCGACATCAAAACTCGGCATCGTGGCGGGTTGTTGGAAGTTTAGTGATGGTGATTTCTTTAGCAAAATATGTGCACAAGCTAGTTAGTGAAATAAGTGAGACAACAGTTTCGGAGTCGCCCTCGATTCCATCTTCGGGTCTGAAAGGGAATGGGAAAGGAATCCGTATAAGAGAGAGAAAAAGGAGAGACATGGGGTAAACGGGGCAGGTAAGGACAAGAATGGGAGCGAAGAGAGATCAGGCCAGGTCGAAGGATCAGGCGGTCTATGTGAAGGTTGGCCGGCATACGGAAGAAGGCGAGGGATGTAGGAAGCGAGGAGACTGTCGGCAGGACATCAGCGGAAGGGAAGACAATGCATGCTGCTGACCAATCCATTTGATGGCCTGTTTCTTACTGATGGCAGAAGAGGTCATTGTTATGTTTCCCTTGATACAACGCCCGCATTACCTTTATTCATTGCAATATTTTTTTTAATGGTTTTCGTTTTCGATGATTTCTTTACCATTGTTACTACTAAACCATTTCAAAGGAAATACACTGAAATAACACATACCCTAAAATCTCACACAAATTGATAAGGCCTATGAGATATCGGATTTAGTTATACACTCGATTTACTCGATATTGTTTCACTAGAAATAAAAGTGTAACCCCTCTTTAACTAAAGATAACTAGGAATTCTTTACAGCTGCCAGAATACTCTTCGGAAAGTTAATTTGAATTTCGGGATCAGTAGACTAAATGCAAGTGGAATTACCTGGTTACATGTACCTTGAATATGATAATGATAATAACAAGATGATAATAGTGATAATAAATTCAGGGAACTTCTTAGTGAAGGCAGGGTTCTAAGTAAACTTTCGATAAGAATAAATGGGAGAATCCAGGCGTTGTTCCTAGAAAGAGTGTTCTAACACATGGTATGGTAGTGAAGCCTGCGTCATTTGTAATAATAAGAATTATACTGATAATACTAATTCTTAGATTGCTACTGCTATTAATAGCAATTTCATTAATGACAATAATAACTAGTAATTACAATAATTACAATGATAGTAGTAGCAATTATAAAAACAGCGACGACGACAACAACACCTACTGCTACTACTACTAATAATAATTAGAGGAACATGTTGAAAAGGTTTGAAAGAATAAATATCTTCACCATACAATACGGTTCGATAGTAATATATACGAAACTGGTTAAATACCTCTTGTAATGAGAAGATATCAATTCTCACATGCGTTTTCTACATGTATACGATTCAAGAAGAACAGCAACAATACTTCTTTTATAGTGATGATAATAGTAATAACAGTAATAGTAGCAGCAACAACAATGATAATAACTAACTACATAAACGTTACTACTACCAATAGTAATACTAGTAACAACATTAACGATGGTTTAATGATAATAGGAATGCAGAAAAAAGTAGTTTTACAAAAAGCTAACATTTTTTTGTGGAATAACAACCATGCGTTTTCTCATTGTCCACGTTCTCTTTTTCTAGAAAGCTCATCACTTTATAAATTTACTTAACACGCAGTCTTTCATAGCTGGTCATAGAAAGCGGCCAATGACAAGAGAGGGTAAACCTATTCCCAGCATTGCATTTACTTCATGATGATTTGTTAGGGACAATATACAAAGTATTCCAGCAAAAGTTCTTAGACTCAGAATTCTCAGATTTTGTCTCGCACGTTATTTTAGCATTGTCTCAACTAGTTTATTTCGGACAGGCGTCAGGGACATACATAGAGATATCAAGTTACAGATATGAAAAACAAATACTTCTATATCAAATTACCTGATATACATAACCTTTTAAATGAACGTTTGTTTACACCCTCCCATTTGCGCTTATGAACTTATTTCATCCTCATGGTGTTTTTTATTGAGGAAATATATCTACAGATATATAGGCATATTTACAGAACATAGTTATGACAAAAACAACAACTTTGAAGGCTTGCTGCGGGATTATTGTAAATCACTTGGCAAATAATCAAGGGCGAAATTTGAATATAATGACTAGATTTTCGCATATATAACAAAAATGGCGAAATATACTGACATAACTAATACCGCTGTACTATTTAGTTATGTCTATATGATGAATTCCGAGTGGAAATAATATCCTGCACCTTTCTAGTAACATCATTATTTGCTTAATTATGAATGATTTACGAAAGGATGAAAATCATCTTTGTATACTGTTATCTTTCAAAAAAATCCCTTCAGTCTTTTGAGCTATTCTCAAACTAGCCTTGCTAAAAAAAATAGTTCGTATTTTTCTCAGAAATAGGTCATTTCATCATTTCTTAAATAACTCATAATGCCGATGAAACAAATGCGTTACAACAAGCAAAATATCATCTTTACTCATCTATTCATGATATAATTTCCCTAATTTCTAGAATCATGTTTTATGTTAAGAATTACATTTATAAATTTTGCTAAAATTTACTGTCATTTAAGATAGCAGTGTTTCTGAGGCAATATTTGCAGCTTCGCCTGAAAAACGCCTTCCCACACGTCAGATCAAGAGATCATGTCATGGTATTCGCCGGACATGTGTCGCAGGCTGAGAGAATGGCGAAATAGAGGCGTGTTGAGATGAAATCGGGTGAACGAGGAGAGAATGTTGCCGTCTCAATCCTATTGCAGATCCTGGTAGGAGAGGTCCATGCAATATTCTTGATGTTATTATTGCTTAGATATGGACAAGCATTTTTATAATCACTGTAAAGGCCGGTTTCGAGTAGAGGGGACTCCGGAAACCAAGAGGATCCACGCCCGTCGAAAGAAGTAAATCGAAGACCGAAAAAAAGTACTGGTCATTCCGGGTGATACCTAGTGTGGAATAGATTCAGGTTCTGATCAGGGAAGGTTGTTATATAAATAACAGTTTGTTTTGCTGTCATTCCCCAGCCATTTAATGGATGCGAAAGGGAAGGTTGTTATATAAATAACAGTTTGTTTTGCTGTCATTCCCCAGCCATTTAATGGATGCGAAAGGGCTCACAAAATACATTTCAATTTAAACATGAGCCACCAAGTGAAATTAATTTTATAGTATATAAATGATATTCCAGAGTAGTTTTTAATATACAGTTTGATGAATTACGAAGCCAAATTTACATCCCTGATCCTTTTAAGGAACTACAGTGTAGTTTTTGACAAAAGTACGTATATAATATGAGTAAACATGAAAACACAGGCCCTTCAAATCAGGGCCTTCGTGTTACCGGCAACCACACATTTACGTCGTCTTCTTAACAACTGATGATTAGCACATCACTTAGCCATGTTCAGCAATAATCCCCCAATATATTCACGCATGAATTTCGCATTTATTTCTAAAAGATCCGTTTTGGCATTAGGATCACCGACTTTTGCCTTTGTTTCTCTGTCCAATACCCATACTGCGTTCATCATTTTGAGGGGCTTTGTGACTTCGGTTGTGGAAATGAGGATGAGAGCAGTAATACTGCTTCTACTGCTGTCATAATAATGATTGTGATAATAATTATAACCATAGTCATAATGAGAATGAAAATAGTTTCATAGTTTTATAATCCATAATTACAGGTCTCTCTAAATTTGATAGAAAACAATGTAAGCGACGAAAGAAGCATTTCAGAATTACAGAAACAAAAATCAATAACCAATAAAAGCCAATCACACATTTAATTTTTATAACATACCTTACACAGCACATATAGGTAAGAGTATAATGACAAAGCCCGAAGCTGTTGCTACCGTAAAAAACATAATTGTTATTGTTAATGGGAAGTACTAAATGCTGTTACGATGGAAATGAGATTCTTAAGGAGTGGGTGTTGTAATGTTTGACAGCAAGAAAGATAATTTCGAAAATAAAAATTCAGACCAGAAAATGTGAAAGCATATTCATATATATATTTTATTTGATTAAGCAAACGGCTTTTACCATAAATACTTAAAAGTACACCAACAGATGGAAGAGAAAAACAAACGTTCATTTAAGCCAGACTGCTAGAGGGCGACGTTCAGTACTATAGTCCGCTGTCTCGGACTAATGTTTCGTGCGGCTGCTCAAGGGCAATGTGGGAGGTGGAGTTTTTATTGTTTTTTCTTTTACTGCCAGTGAATGCTGATAATGTGATGATTATCTCAGGGACGCACCAGTTGCCAAGCAACATTGCCTGTAGAGTATTATGAAATGAACTTCCTTGTTACTAAACAGTTTTATTTTTCAAATGGGATAAATAAATTGTGACATGCAAAACGTTCAGATATGTTGAAGTATTAAACTATAAACTGTGAAATTACCCCGGTAGTGTATTTTTGTGAAGAAAATGATGATGCTTATGGGAAGGCTGTTGAGCTCACTTAAGCTAGACGACATTCACAAGAGAGAGAATTGCAGTTACAGTGCTCGGAACATGGAGATGTTTACATTGCTGAGTAATTCTCTCTTTCACAAACACGTCTAAAACCAGAGAATTCTTGATTGGCCTTGGTTTTAAAAGCTTTTGGTTGTCAAGAGCTAAAGCGTAAGTTTTACGTGATAGAAGGATATCACACTTCTCTAAGGGACTTCAGTCACGACTTCGGTCACAACCTCGGGATCACTCACTAGGAATTCCATCTCCATCGCAGCTTCGATGAGAAGTTCTTCGTCGTCCTCGGTTTCGACAGGGGCTGCCTCTTCGTCTGGCGATTCTGCAACCTCGACAGGTGTAGCTTCTTGGACGGGAGTAGCCACCTCAATAGGCGCGGCTTCCTCAACAGGAGCACTTTCCCCAACAGGCGCGGTTTCCTCAATAGGCGCGGCTTCCCCAACAGGCGCTGTTTCTTCTACAGGAGCGGCTTCGTCAACAGTTGCAGCTTCCTCGACATTTACAGCTTCTACGACAGCCTGTACTACTGGTGCAGCTTCTACTAATAATGCAGCTTTAGTAGGTGCAGCCTCTTTTTCAAGAGCAGCCACTTCCTCAAGAGTTTCTACGATCTCAGGAGTTCTAACATCAATAGCAGGTTCAACGGGTTCAGGGTCTGCCGGTGCAGTGGGAGCAAGGTAGGACGGGTAGCGAGGGTAGGCAGGGTGGGATGGGTAAGGAGGGAAGTAGGGCTTCCTTGGGTATGCAGGGTGGGGTGCAGGGTAATGGGGTGGGGGTGGCTTGTAGGCGGGCGCCGGGGAGTGGTAGGGGGCGACGACGATGTCTCCCTCGTATTTAACTTCAGCGAGGAGGCCGTCGCCGTTATCAGCGTAGGTGACAATCTGTTTTCGACCGTCGGGAAGGTCCACAGAGAACGAACCCTCGGTCTTGTAGCCATCGCGGGACTCGCTCTTATCGAACTTCAGCTTCTGGTAGTCGTCGTTGACGTCATAAGCATACGCGTACTTGGCCGGAACCTTAAGATAGAAAATAAAACAAAAATGGTACAACCACTGTGGTCTGCGTGCAATGTTATCAGCTGATGCTAAATAATCCTGACCAATCATAGCAATTACATATGGGAATATCGTCTACATTTGGAAGGAGAGAACCTTGAACAACAATCACAAATAATGATTATGGTAATAATGATAACGGCAAGATTACACTGATGTTAGTGAAGATTGATAATAATGAAAATACTAATAGTGCTACGGCTAT